CAAAAATAGTTCAAACATTGGAAAACAGTTAAAAATTTCACGCACCAGCGTATGAAAGCTGAATTCAAAAACTTGAAGGATGAATATCTTTATTCTGAGTTGATAGTTTGCCCACCAAAAATTTTCACGAGGCCGCAGGTCATACTCAAGAGCGCGGGAACGCTGAATTTGAATAAGCAAGTTTGAGCGTGGACAGGGGGTCATTACCCTAAAATTTCAGCCTCCTAGACTGCGTGGTTCCCGAGATATTAATTTATCCGTAAAAAACTTTCACGAGGCCATACGTGTTACCCATGGGTACGGGGAGGCTGAATTTAAATTTGCGGAGTCAAACGTGGGTTGGGAGCGTTCCCATAAATTTTCAGCTTCCTAGCTTTTGTGGTTCTCGAGTTGAAAGTTGCAGACAAGTTGCTGCGGACGCACACACAAACACACAGACAACCCAGTGACAATATGCCTTTTGTACTGCTGTTACACAGCACAAAACGCATAAAAAGAATAGGCGTGTGTTCAGTACAAGCAGCAAAGTGCAGTGGCGGATGACGTGCTGGTGCAGAGTAGCTTGCATGAAAGACCACACATCCCACTGATCATTCGAAGGCGCTGGCAGAGGCAGTTCCGTGTGCCCGCAGGCTTATTTTGTAAATTGTCCGTCGATATCCCCGAAGTCGAAGCGCAGCAATGAAACAGCAGCTGATCAAAATATTATCAAAAGAAACAGCCTGGATGCCGCTGCCGGTTTACGCTGCACACATTTTAGAAAATCTGTAGATACCAGTGTAATGGCGAGGGAAGTAACGTCGAAGAAATTAGGCGTCCGCTTTTTTCTAAGAGGAAGTCAGTTCTTTCACAAAGCTCGCTTTTCACACATCTGCAACGTTTTAATCTTTTCTTCGTTCCACTCGAGTGTGAATAAATAGAACAGTAAATACCAGGAGTATCTAGAGCGCCCAGGCTATCAGTATGGGTATCTCCCTTGCTGATTCTAATAGAGTATTCCCACATATTGGGACAGCTATGCCGGATGCCACACTAATTTTGAATTAGGCGTATATATAAATAAACAAGTATATATAAATGTATATATATATATAGATGTGTTTCCCTATGATCCATTTGTAGTAGTCAATATACTATCATTAACATATGTACGTTACTAACAATATATTGATTAATACCCAAAATACACAGATTTACATGCAGTTCATATTTTGTGGGGTCTTGATCTGGGGCTTCGTACCCTCCGCTTGTTGGGGCTGAAGGTATCAAGTTATTCTTAGCGGTTCAAATATTCAGACCTTTATACATCATCTCTTCGGAGGCTTTGTTCATGTATAATTTCCTTACTTTCAACACGTATTCTCTAAGACTATTCAGCATCTGCGATTAGCTCTTCATTTTGTTTATTGGATGGATAAAACGGGCTGTGATCGGGCCTTTTCCTTCCTTTCGTGGCATGGAAATTCTGAGAATGTTTTCGCTCTTCGCCATATGGGGTTTGTAACTGATTTACTTAGTCAGTTTTCAGCCTCAGCTCCTCATTCTCGTTATCGAGTCGCATAGGACGGTCTACGATCGTCGTCTCTTTTTCTTTGCATGAATTAAAAAACTGAAGAAGGCTTGTATTGTTACGCTCATTAACGTTGGTGCGTGATCGTGTCGTATCCTGTTGTATCCATTCAATAAAGGTTCAAAAACACAAATTTAAGGTGTGGAATCCGAGCGAGGCGACGTATTGGCACCATTGAAGCGAATCCGCACGAGCCGACGTATTGGCATCATTCAAGCAAGTCCATGCGAGCCGACGCGTTGATTATTCAAGGGAAATCTGAACCACCGATTACCACTGTTTTTATTCCCGGACCAAGTCTGGAGAGGAGCGTGGAGCACACGACAATGCAATAGGAGGATCGCCCTTCCCACGTATTTGCGTCGGCTTTTCGGCGTTCCCCTGGGAGTCGTTTACTTTGTCTCTGGTACCACATAGCTGCCTTCGAATTTTACCTCTTCGTAAGGTAGCAGTGATATCCTGCATACTGCTCATCTGACGGAGAATTTCATTGTTTATATGGTTACGAAGAGAACACCAAGTACTGCTGTCTCGTCACAGCCAGCGCTCGCTCTTCAACTTTCATCAGTGACGACATTCGGCATCTTTTGTTTTTAACACATTGATACTGAAGAGTTGGGCAAGGTCCTTCCGTTTTTGACACGTTAAAAAAACACAGATGATACTGCGAAATTTGTGCAAGCTGTTTGACGTGTATGGTTTAAAAATTACGAAATGTCCTAGAAATCTAAAAATTTTGTCCATGCTTGGCTACCGTACATGTCGGATTACTGACCTGAAAGACTGAATTCACACACACACGTACACGCACACGCATACACACACACGCACTGCTGCATTTACAGTATCATTTACGCGTCTCATTCTGTCGCGTTTTTTTTTTCATGTCACTTAGCATCGTTACGAATAAACAGAATTGCTCTCTCTTTCAAGAACACTGACAAACATAGGCGAGAGGATAAAATACCGCGATACTTCCTCGTTTCCGATGCCAGTAAGGACAATTTCATATTATGATAACATTGATGATTCACTGGGTCCGGTTTATATATTGGCTTACCTCTCTTCTCTTCCTTCCCTTTCACTTGTCTTTCCTCCGAAGATTTGGGAGTATTTGATGTGCGTTGTGGGCCGATCTACCTCCAGCTTCTTCCTGTCTATCTCACTGAGGCGGAACGAAAGTCTTTGGCTCAGTTGTGTAGTAAAAGAACTCCCTCTATGCTTTCGACTAATTTATTTTTTATTGTCTGATACAACTTAAGGTAGAAAACTTTTTATTTTGGTAACGGTAACTTTGACCATCCTGCGTTTGCAAGAAAAACACGTTGCAAGTCAAAGAAGCGAGTCGAGTTTCAAAATTTCGACAAAAAAACTCGGCTCTGCTCGCCTCGGCTACTGCACGACTTGCCAATTGACCTGCAGATCGTGTAGTGGGGGAGCTGTGGGCAAGGGGGACGGGGAGGACGTCTTGAATCCAAACCCCAAAAGTGTGCTCATGCATTGGCAGCTCTCCTCCCCTCCCACCTTTCTGTACCCTATGCATCTTTTAGCTCATGAATCCAATATGCGTTGTAAAATTTTTCTTTATGAAAGACAGTTTAGAGAAAACCGGATTTGTGGGTGCTACAGAGGTATCAAAATTAAGCCTTAGAGCGTTGACTGTGTTTGTGGACAGGATGTAGCTTTACAAAAAAGAGCAAATATTCTTCAAGGAAGGATGGAAGATGAATCACTGAACTGAATCAGAGGGAGCCCACGGAGGCTTACTCGATATGACGATGAAAATATGGCTCGACTTCAGGTTCTCTGGCAAAAGCTGGACGCTGCGGTCGCTAAAAACCCAACCGTCCTCGCGCTTACCCCTACTCAAGGTAAAATCTCGTTCCAAAAATTCCTAGGCGGTTCTTATCTCAGCGGTATGCCCCCTTCCCAGATCGGTGTCATGCATCACGGACGCAAGAAGGAAGATAGCTCGTGTGCACACAGCTGTCCTGTAACTTGTTAACAGTGAAACTGCTCACTGATCATCGTGTACTGATCTGCAACGACGCGTGCTCAACAAGTGCAGTGGCAAATGGGTGATGAGTCGCTTTTGTGCATCACGGACTGTCACTTTTTCAAATGAAAATGTGTATGCAATTTTTATTAACAAACAATCTGTTAAACTGCAAATGAAACTGTTGCCACCAATCTGACTGCTGGAAGAACTGCCAAAGAAGCAGGAGTTGTTGATACGTTCCGAACATTTCCTGAAAAATTCGAGGTGTGCAGCTGACACAGAAAGTGCATCCAGTAACATCTGGCGTATTTCGGACTTCCTTCTCTAAAGTTCATCTTAAGTTGACCCTGATCGTTGTTTACGATCTCTTTTCGTAAAATCTGAATCGTTCGCCCTGAACGTTTAATCTGCTAAGAGTATTGGTGCTTTTTTCTTCATAACCAACAAATATTTCTGAAGTGTGCACTGCATCACACGTGAGTTTGAAACAGAATCGCCAAAAAGCACTGTGAGGGCGGACGTAATATTATTTGTTTTAACGGAGCCCAAAGCAAATTATTTCCCTTCAAAAAGATATTTTTGTATGGCTTATCTACTCTCTCGCTATTATGATTCACTACTAACGATATCTTTAAAAGGCCACCTGCTAACAGTTATCCATACAAATTATTTGCTTCAGTTCTGTTTATGTCAAACACCTTTCAACAAAAAAGGAAGAGTCCACAAAGCTGACAGCTCGGGGAAAGTACTGTTTTGTGACTTTGCTAAACCTGGGCCTTCCCATCCATTTTTGCTTCCATTTGCTTGAATTCATCCAGCAACGTTCACATTTGACTTTGCTTCAATTTTTTGCAACTTTTCTGCACGTCGATGATTTTGGTCCCTTCTAAAAAGCCAACCACCTTACCTCTCCCACACTCCCTCCCTTCTCGATCAGCACACCTTCA